GGAGAAATTGAAATCTAGGGTTTCGTATTGTTTTATTGTTTTTCCAGGCGAATCGTAGCATATTGTTGGAGGAAGACAAAGTGAAAGCGGAGACGGAACGCGCGAAGGCGCCGGTGGATTTCACGACGTTGCAGCATCACAATTTAATGTACGAGAAGGGCCATTATTTGAAAGCTATAAAAGCTTGCAAGGATTTCAAATCTAAGTATCCTGATATCGAGCTTGTACCGGAGGAGGAGTTTTTTCGCGACGGGCCTGAAGAAATTAAGGTTTCTAATTTGTCTGATGATAGCTCGCATAATTTGATGCTCAAAAGGCTCAATTATGAACTCTTTCAGGTAAAGTACTGATTAAATCAAATTTTGATAAATAAATATATATTTTTTATGTATTGTTTTAATTTTATGGAAAATTTGAGTCTTTCCGATACCTTGTTCATGTTTAGGGCAATGTATCATGTATTTTGAATTGAAGTAGGCATCTTTGTCTTAGTATTTAAACTGATTGGCGACAAACAAATGGTTTGCTAAGCATAACATGGATGTTGTTTGTCTCAGCGGAAAGAGTTATGCAAACTTCTAGAAAAATTGGAACAACGGAAGAAAAGTCTTTTGGAGACGATAGCAAATCGAAAGAAGTTTCTGTCGAGCCTGCCTTCGCACCTCAAGTCCCTAAAGAAAGCATCATTGCCGGTACAGAATCAATTAGGTGTTTTGCATACAAAGAAACTGAAGCAACATCATTCCGCTGAACTGCTTCCACCTCCACTTTACGTGATTTACTCACAGTTCACGGCCCAGAAGGAAGCATTTGGAGAGGATATCGATCTGGAGATCATAGGAAGTATGAAGGATGCTCAAGCTTTCGCTCGCCAGCAAGCAAATAAGGACAATGGTGAGTGATGTTTGTCTTACTTTGTGGCTTGTGCAGAGTCAATAGCTTTTTGGATGTTACTTAAGTTATACTCTCTACTCAAAACAACGGACAAGTAGGCTAGTGCAAAAAGACATAATATTATCCGACATAAAGCTTGCCATTAATAGTTTAGCAAAAGATGATGTGCAACATTTAAGTTGAAGGTATGGTTGCTAACAAAATTAACCAAGTTGTATGGTTAAACTGCTAGGAGGGTGAGAGTAATTAAACCTGTTTATTTCTACAAAGTATTTTCTCTCAGATAGCTTTTGATGTCTTTGATATGTATTATAATTTAATTTTTTTTGTTATCTAACAGGCCATGGCTTCTGGTAGCTGATGATTTGAAATTTTCTCTTTCACAAAAAATTTGAATTGAGTACTGATATTGTTAATGGCCAGGTATATCTGCCAGTGTAGAGAGCTCAAGGCTGGAGGATGATGCACCTGATGAGGAAGATGATGGCCAGAGAAGGAGAAAGCGGCCAAAGAGGGTTCCCAGCAAGGAGGCTATTGACCAGGCAGGAATCTATCAAGTTCATCCTCTGAAAATTATCCTTCACATACACGATGATGAAGCATCTGATCCTAGATCTGCAAAACTGATCACTTTGAAGTTTGAATACTTGTTAAAGTTAAATGTTGTATGTGTTGGAATTGAAGGATCAACTGAAGGACCTGAGTATAATATCCTTTGCAATTTATTTCCTGATGACACTGGCCTTGATCTGCCTCACCAGGTTTGTGTCTCATGGCTATTACTTGCCTTGCTTTCACCCTCACCCTCAACCTTGCCATGTAACAATGACTGTTCTGAATGCTATTGCAGTCGGCTAAGCTCTTTGTTGGTGATGCTGCTACATTTGATGAAAGGAGAACTTCACGTCCATATAAGTGGGCCCAGCATTTGGCAGGAATTGATTTCTTACCAGAGGTTTCACCATTGCTTAATAGCCATGAAACTTCAAACAACGAAACCAAAAGTGATGCTGTTATTTCTGGTCTTGCATTGTATCGCCAGCAGAACCGAGTACAGACAGTCGTGCAAAGAATCCGCTCACGGAAAAAAGCTGAGCTGGCTCTTGTGTGAGTCACTGCCTTGTATGTTTTGGAGTTTGGGTCGTGAAGCAAACACTAGGGAAGCAAATAGGAGTGAATACCACAATGTGGTCAAATCTGAAAATTTGGTCCTAATTTCCTGTGCTAGGGTTCTTGTTGGCATCTTTATAAAATATAAAGTTACTGACATGTGGATTTAGTACAAAGTTTATCTCTGTGCCTTAATGTAACTTGTTTGTTTGGTGCATCTTATGTGTTGGAATATTTCTTTAACTCGTTGTTGGATACTCTTAGCTTATCTGCCTTCAGTATAGTATGTTTTTTTGTTGAAAATTTGGAATTCTTTCATTGAATTACAGGGAACAGCTTGATTCACTTATGAAGCTTAAATGGCCTTCTCTGAATTGTAAAAGTGTCCCATGGGCCTTGCATACCCCTTTATGCAGTTTACATAGTTGGTCATCTGTAGGACCCAAAGTTAATGAGACTTCATCTCAACCTGTTCCTGACACAGAACCAGTTCAAGAGCCTATGGATGTTGATATGGATGGAAGATCTGGTATGTCAAAGGAAGAGCTGGAGGGTTTAAGAGAAGATGGAGAGCTTCCATCTTTGCTTTCAGCTCCATCTGTCACAAATGATGCTAAACTTACCATGTTAAAGGGATCTAGTCTAAACCATTCCAAGCAGTTGGCTTTAATTTCAAAGAGCATTTTGTCTCCAGTCAGTAAGGGGAAATCACCAAGTTTCAAAAAACATGATGATGAGTCTGACTTCATGCTGGAGACTGACAGTGATCTGGATGAGCCTGCAGAGACAGAGACTGAAAACACTGCTTCTTCTCAATGCTATGAAATAGCTGAAAAGTCATGGGTGGACTATGGTATCAAGGAATTTGTTCTCCTTTTGACAAGGAAGATGGACACAAGTGGGCCGAATATGAAATTAGAAGCCAAGGTGTCATGCATTGCTTTGTTTTGTTCTATTATGTTGAATCTTAATGATGGAAAGCTGACACTAAATTGTACTGTTGCAGGTTAAGATCAGTATGGAGTACCCTCTTAGGCCTCCTTTATTTACAGTGAATCTTTACTCTTCTCCTGGAGAAAATTCTCTTGAGAATGACTATTTTCAGTGGCACAATGAAATATGTGCTATGGAAGCTGAGGTAAGCAATCAGTACTTCTGAAGTAGTTATCTCACATTAATGCATGGTTATTTGTTGGAGTATTTTCTTTTAGGCCTATGGACATTGAATGCTATTATATGAAGCATAGTTAATTATGATTTCATGCTTGTTATGATGAATCAATATGACAGTAAATGATAATGGTTTCACTTATTAAAAGTTCTGTGGTTTTAGCCCTTTTGTCCTGTTGGTATGTGGTAACAATAATGTGCTTGCTAGTTGAGTTACACCAATTTCTTAGTATTCTCTCTGAAGTACTTGAAGTGTTTTCTGAGGGCTTACTGTTACTATCTTTCTTCAGCATGCGCAATAAATTCACACTCTTGTTGCATCATGTAGGTAAATCTTCATATGTTAAAGATGATACCCGTGGATCAAGAAAATTACACCTTAACACATCAAATGTACTGTCTTGCTATGTTGTTCGACTATTACATGGATGAGGCATCTCCTTCTTCTGAGAAGAGGAAGAGTAGTTCTGTGATTGATGTTGGCTTGTGTAAACCTGTTAGTGGTAGGCTTCTTGCAAGATCATTCAGAGGTAGGGATCGTAGGAAAATGATATCCTGGAAGGACATGGAGTGCACTACTGGCTATCCTTTCTAGAATATAAAGTATTTGCTCTGAAAGTAATGATAGTATTGGTGCTGCTGGGCCGCTAGCTTGCTAGATGAGGTTCAGAGGAAGTAACTCGAAGATGACTCTTTAACCAAAGAAAGGATTTAGGGATGACCTTTTTGCTTCTGCTGCAAAATATTGTGTTTCCTCCCAAGCTTCAGGTGCATATACAGTTTATGCTGTATTCCCTC